TCCATAGTTGTATTGATGTTTTGATGAGTGTGAAGGAACGCAATTTTTTTTTTAATATAATTATGTGAACGCTTTTAAAGCGCCCTTATCGAGGGTAGGGACATTTGTATGTTTTTGGTTAACTAAATTTTCTAGTTATTGACGTGAATAAATGACTACTAGCTGTTCCGATTATATAAAGTTATAGATTCCTTAAAAATATTGTTTGTCTATGGATATTTTTATAGCTAGGTTTAATAGATGTAGTAGGTATCAATTATATTGAAGGGTTACAAAATAATGGTTTGTTTTCAAAGGAGTCATTGACTTTGTGTGGGATAGATACCAAACATGGGTATATACCTTTTATACGCCACTTATCCTTACGTAGTCAACTTTAGCCATTCCAATTTCTTCACCAATCATACATTTTCTTTATTTTAAAAATCAATACAAAAATCATTTATTTATGGTTTCTTTCATCTAATATTTATATACATCAGGTATCAGCTTCCAGCTAATCAACTAATTTTTTTATCATTACAAGTTAAATTATCCCCACACGTACTCTTCTTAGCTAGTTCTTCCAACACTCTCTTGCATTCATTAGAAAAAAGTTTTAAAAAATAACAATAAAATCAATTTCGTAAACTAGTAATACTTATCAACTAAAATTAGTACTGATGCATGCAGATACACAGCACTTGTGGAAAACAATATCGTCCAAGCAGCAAAAGACATGCAAAGAGTCATGTCAATATCTGATATCTCCGACGAAACAACGACAGAGCCACCACCTCCACCTCCGCCGCCTTCTTACAAACTCTTCTCCCGCCGCTTTCTCCGCCTCCACGGCCGTGACCTCTTCGCCGCCTCGGTTAATTGGTTTCTAGTAGACGTTGTCTTCTACACAAGCAACCTCCTCCTCTCCGAAATCTTCAGTCACTACTCGGACAAACCATCTTCCTCGACACCCGAAAACGTTTACGACGCAGCCTTCGACGTGGCGGAATTAGGAGCCATCATTGCAGCTTGTTCCACTATTCCCGGTTACTGGTTCACAGTTTACTTCATCGACAAGATAGGTCGTGTAAAAATCCAGATTATGGGGTTTTTCTTCATGGCCGTTGTTTATTTGGTCGCTGGTATTCCGTACAATCACTATTGGTCAAAACATGAACCGAGTAATAAAGGCTTTATGGTTCTCTACGGTTTGATTTTCTTCTTTTGCAACTTTGGTCCCAACACTACAACTTTTATTATCCCAGCAGAGCTATTTCCGGCTAGGTTTAGGTCTACCTGCCACGGGATATCCGGCGCCGCGGGTAAGCTTGGGGCTATAGTAGGAACTGCTGGATTCCTGTGGGCTACGATGAAGGTGAACGATGGAAACCAGGTTTATTCTCAAGTGAACCGTATGAGAGTTTGTTTCTTGATTCTTGGAGGTGTTTGCATCGCCGGAATCTTTGTGACGTATTTCTTCACCAAGGAAACTATGGGAAGATCGCTAGAGGAGAACGAGCATGAACAAGATGATAATGATGATGAGAGTGAAGACGAGCCACAATTTGTTCACGGGCAATCCTCGGCGAGCACTTTGCTTCAGACACGGTGATGACTGGGAGATCAAACTCATGATCTGTTCAAATTCAGACAACGAAGCTACGTCTATAGTTTATTTCTGCTAATTTCTTCAAGATTTTGTCTATGTTTTGCTTGAGGTTTTCTTTTCTTTCATTTACTTCTTACCCAAGAAACTGTTTAATCTAATGCTTCCTCTGTTTTTTTTTCAATTATTTCTTACCCAAGAAACTGTTCAGTATAGTCTTCCTTTGTTTTTAGTCAATTAATACTCTTCTTTTCCTCTCTCTGCAGGCTTCATTCTTCTTATAGTACTAGAAAATTGTTAATTTTCTGGTCGTTATATATGGTTATTATTGCACAAAGTTGTTACAACAGTGCTATTCATAAATCAAAAGCGAAAAGCAATTAAAATTACAATTTCATGATAAGATTCATATTGATACGAAGATAATGACCAAATGAAAGATCAGAGAGAATGATCTGATGATCACTTAGTCTTGGTGGGGAAAGAAGCCATCTTGTTGATTCCACATAGACCCTCTGGTTTCCCAGTGTTCCTCTTCATCCTGATGTAACCTTTCTCTCCCCATTTTTCCCCCCAAGAATTCTTCACAATGATGTAATCCGAACCCTTGCTTGATCCGTACCCAACCGCAGCCACACCGTGGTCTAGGTCGACCCCGCAACGCCCATCAAACACACCCTTCATAAACCAAAACACA